GCTTTGGCATAGTCAATAAAGCAGAAATAGATGTTTTTCTGGAACTCTCTTGCTTTTTCGATGATCCAGCGGATGTTGGCAATTTGGTCTCTGTTTCCTCTGCCTTTTCTAAATCCAGCTTGAACATCTGGAAGTTCTCGGTTCACGTATTGCTGAAGCCTGGCTTGGAGAATTTTGAGCATTACTTTACTAGCGTGTGTGATGAGTGCAATTGTGTGGTAGTTTGAGCATTCTCTGGGATTGCCTTTCTTAGGGATTAGAATGAAAACTGACCTTTTCCACTTCTGTGGCCACTGCTGAGTTTTCCAAATTTGCTGGCATACTGAGTGCAGCACTTTCACAGCATCATCTTTCAGGATGTGAAATATTACCTGAGGCTAATTTAATATTATAATCAACTATTCTTCAATAAAAATTTAAAAATTAAAAAGTTATGTGCAAATCATTTTCTTGTTAATAATTATAAGAAAAGAATGCATTGATTTTGCATAAGAAATTAGATCAGCTTTATCCTTTTGTGGAATATACATCTTTCAACTATAATATTCCTACATTTTCCCTTAAGAATCTAATGAAAATGATAAACAAAAAAATAATCATTTACATATATATACAAATTTTTGCATGTAATATCTGGGTCTAAAGATTAAGTTCATTTGGGATCTCCAGGTTAAGAATCCTTGCCTTATAATTAAGATATGCAAGCATTTTAGAGTGAGGCAAATAACACGAGCTGTTTTTCATCATCACTGTGCTAATGAAATACACTGTACCAGACTCAGCCATAAACACAATTCGTCCATTCAGCTGTGTGGCTGCACGTGAGATTACAAATCAGCTCAGTAAATACTGATGGAGTGCCTGCTTTATGGCCCTGGGGGAGGCGGCAGGCCCATTGCCATGTTCATACTGAACAGCCCACACGCCCCATTGCTGGCAGCCAGGTCACATGCCACCTGCAGTCACTTCGGCAAGAAACGGCCTCCTTCTCAAGACACCCCACCCCTCCCAGACCCACATCCTTGGCACCAGCTGCTGCTTTGTGCCTCGCTGCTAGATTAAGACCATCTGATACCAGAGTGCACAACAGTATCTTGCATCCGATTTAATAAAACACTTGGTGAAGGAATGAACTAATTCACCGACTTGTGAGGAGATCATGTGGAAAAACAGGCAAATGCTACTCTTTCCACAACTCAACCCAGCAACTCTTGACATCATGCTCCTGTGCTTTGTCTGTCTTGCAAAACGCACACACGCAACAGGCTCCTTGCTGACACAAATAAAACTTAAAACATACATTCGAGCAGAGTGACCAGAGAGGGGTGGTTGTTTCACCGAGCAGCGGCAAGCATCAGGAGCCCTCCTACACTGTGCCAACCCCACGCCAACTGGCCCAGCAGCACGAGGAACAAGAAGCCATCCTGAGCACCCCGCATCCACCTCCCTCCACACCTCCTGGGGGGCCTTGGCCTCCACGCTCCACCCTGGGAGCCTCCAGTTCCCTGTGAGTCGGGATAACCCTGAGATACCCCCGTTAAAGCAGCACACCCATGGCTGCACGTGGCAGTTGTTCTGGTTTATGGCCCAGCCTATGTGGCACCCCCTCCACGCACCAGCCTCAGAGGCAGCACACCCTCCTTGAAGTCCTTAACCTCAGCGCCACCCAGAGCGCCCTGCAAACATGATGCAGGAAGAGAGTCCTCTGACCAAATTACTGTGAGCCTTGGCGGTGCAGCAGGCAGCATGTTGGGGGCCAAGGTGCAAGGACGGTGGGAAGGATGGTGTGCAGGTTGGTGCTGCCCAGGAAGGGACAGGATGCAACAGGCTCCAGCAGGCGGGCAGAAAGTGGACAGGCCACGCCAAGCACTGCAGCTGAGACTACCAGCGCACAGGCGGGAAGGGAGGCAGATTTCTACTTGGTGGGCTTCTACAGCCATTTCCTGTCTTGGGCGGGGGCGGGGGGGCGGGGGGCGGGTGCGCGTGCAGAACCAGAGGTGAGAGGTGGGTGGGATGGGCAGGGGCTGAACTGGAATATCTCGTGGCCAGGGAGGGGAAGATTGTCATAAAGTTCAGGATTAAAGCTCTTACTCCAATCCTGAATGTACGCACTATGGCAGAAATCTCAAGGCCACCACGAGAACAGAAGCTCCAGACAACAGCAGCAAGCGCTCTCTCCACAGGCACTCCTGGGGACATGCAGGCAACATGGGTTTAGGGAAGTAGGGGGCCCCAGTCCCTGGTCAGAAGCCAGCTGGGGGAGGTCCCCATCCCGCAGGTGACTCCAACGCATAGACTGTGGTCTGGGTGCTGATATGTTAATACATTCCTCTTTTAAGTAGGATTTTTGCATTTTACAGGAGATGTTTTGGAGACCACACCCAAACAGAAGTGCAGAGATCTCCTGGTCTAAATTTCAGACTCTGAGGTAGGTCTTTGAGGAGAGAGGCCTACTTCTCGGTCAGGGGCCTGCTTTCCTGGCAACTTCCAAGTCACACTCCATAGGTGGCCTAGTCCCTCCGCCCACTCATGTGGACAAAGCCGGAGCTCCGCCGCCGTCTCTCTTCCACTCTCTACATCCAAGGCCTGGATGGAGTTCAAACTCACCCACTACCAAGTCCCCAAACCACTGCTGACTCTTGAGGTGCCGGCCGTTTATAGAACCTCTGAAAAGCCAGAGTGAGGGCCAACTTCAGCAAAAGCTTGAGGTTTTCAGTCAAGTAATAGCCCACTGTTGTGAAGGTCGGCGCTGGCACGAGAACAGCCCCAGGGCCCATAAAGCTGCTTTTCCATAAAACCTACTCAGGCCTTGTAAACACTCTGTCCTCTGTGGATGTAAATGTTCTCAAGGTGTATTAATGAAACTGAATCACTTCCAGTTCGGCCAGTTATTAATAGCTGCTGACTGTTCCCCCCAGTTCTTAGATTCAAAGGGAGAAGGGGGTGGGGCAGGGAATTCTGTTTACCTGCATAGCGAGAGTTACTGCTTAACCAAGCCGTGCTCAGCATATGTGATAAGAGACCAGAAAGTAAGAAACGGTGTTTTTTCCCTTGGAAGTTAGCAATTAACTTATGAAAAGCACAGAGATGTGCTGGGCTGATTTGACAATGGTTTTAGAAGGTGGCATTCACCTTCCACTCACCCCATGTCAGCAACTTGCGACCTTGTAAATAGAAAGACCAAGGAAACCCAACTGAAATGATTTAGAGATGGGGTGGAATAAAGCACTTTAGCTCTTGGCCTGAGAAGTGTGGAAGCCAGAACACACATGCAGTCGTTCCCTCCTGTGCCCCCAGGCCCCAGGAGGCTGTTCCCTGTCCTAAGGAACCTCGTGCTCCCCAGGCCAGGTGATGAGGGCTGCTGGGACACGCCCCTGACCTGGGGCTGGCCCTGCTGGGAAAGGAAAGCTGAGAGGAAAGAAGACATTGTCCCCTGGGCATTCATCTTCATGACTTCCTCATACCAGAAATCTGAGGACCCAAGACAGGATATTCTTTTTTAAATTTACTTCTCAGGAAGTAAAAGGGAAAACTCCTGGCACATTTTCCTCTTATGCTGCCCTGGAGTCCGCATGCTCACTAGGTACCAGAATGTTGGCAGAGGGCACTGAGAAGGAAGGTTGTAAGCACCCCTCTCAAGGATCAGCACCTCCACTCTCCTGGGCAACCATGAAGAGGTATGCTCTGAGAGATGAGGGCTACTGGCTGATTTGCAGGTCTCCCCTGACCCACCTGCTCTGTTGACCCTTGGGGGCAGCCAGCTGTTCCTGGCAGAAGGCACCACAGGCCTGACTCTGCTTCAAATATTCATGCATACTTCTTTCTCCCATGTTTACAACTGCTTTTTAAATTTGGCTTTGTTATCGCAGAGAGTTGTGAGCTCTTTAAGTGGCACCACAAGCATTTGATTCGTGCTCTTCACTTAAACTCCTGCATTTTAATATCTAACATATCTATTGAGAAAACGGCTTTGTCAACTTGCTTACGGCCACTCTGATGCAGCAGTTGTATTTCTCTGTTGATCTAGGTGTGTTTTTTGTTTACACTTTTAGAAAGAAAAAAAAAAGACATTTTTGAAATGGTGTTTTACGAGCACAGTGTTGAGTAAGGGAAAGTCCCACAGTTTAACGAAGAATATTATCAATGTGCCATGGATAAAAATCAAGGGCAAACAAAGGTCCAGGTGAAAAGGTAATTGAAACATATTACCCGATGATGCTTTCCGACGGAGGACGTCGCCAGGAATCCGTTTCCTGGGTCCTTCTCCTCCAGAAGCTTCCTTCACGTCTCACTCTCCTCCTCCTTCTTCCCTCCTGTGGGTCCGGAGGACAAACCAGGATGTTTTGGGAAAATAAGAAAGACATCGTGGCATCTGTCTTAAAGGGCAGTCAAGCCATCATCTCAGAGGAGACCTATCTTCTCAGGGCTGGTGGCTTTCTGCTCGACCTTCGGGTTGAGGGTGGCCACTCGCTTCCCGCGCTAACACACCAGGTAGAAGCGAATCTCCAAGGGCGGTGCCGGGCTCACACCTCAAACCAATCAGACACTGAGCAGCAGATGAAGGGAACATCCCAAGGCTCCTCCTCAACTCTCACTGCGCCGAAGGGCCGTGTGAAGTCGTGCACATGCACCACGGCCCCAGCCTCCATGGAAGCGAGGCCTTGCAGTGAACAGAGCGAGCCGCATCCCGTGCTGCCCACCCACGCGCGAGGCCGTGGCCCTCCTGAAGGGAGACGGGAGCAGGGGCAACACCGGCACCCCGCAGGCAGCCCCGGGAGCGGACAGGCTGGGGCGCGAGGCCCCCATGCTCCAGGCGGAACCCAGTACAGACAGTCCTCTGTGGACAGCCGTCTGCCGTCGCCCACCCAATCTTCGCACCTTGCCTCACAGAAATATGTCTCCTCTTCCGGTTCTGGTACCAGTCCTGCCGCCGTGGACGCGCCCAGATGCACGTGCGCGCGCGCCCATATGCAGGCATGGACACGCAGGGACTATCGCGCATGCGCACACACCTGGTCCTTCAGGCCACCTCCCTGAAGTGCCCGAGCCTGCACCTGTGGCACCTGGGGCGCCTCCACGACTTGCATCCCCGCACCCTCCTCTCCCACCCGCAGACCTGGCCTGTCCTCAGGCCACAGGTGAGGCCCGGCCCACGCTCTTCTACTAAATGGATCGTTCCTGCCCTTGTCTCTGGTTTGTTTTCTGTGCTCCAAGTCCCCGAACTGCGCGCACACCATCTCAGACAGGCCCCCGCGGGGATGGGTGCTGGAGAGCAGCTCACCGCTTAGGAAACACCGAGAAGCACCAGACCACGCACATAGAGGCTGGCTCATCCTCACTGATTCTGTGTTTGCTTTCTGATTGCATTTTACAGATGAAGGGATCATTGCCCAGAAAGGACAGTTTGCCCCAATCACACAGCTAACAGGGCTGGTGACAAGGTTTGGATTCACATCTGCCAGACTCCAGATTCCACCCTCTTTCATTTAGCTGAAGTCGCCCAGAGATCAAGACATAGCCCAGGAGAAGGAAGCAGTCCAGGGAAACGTAGGACAGGAAGAATATTAGGTGAAGGGTAACGGCCACACTGAGCATCAAGGCTGTCCCTCTGGCTGGATCTGCAAAGAGTGAGCATCATGGTTAGTCTCGTGTTAACACCTCCTACCTGAACTGCCCATGGCTTTTCTGCTCCAGGACCTTGGCACCTGATCCCATGGCTCAGCATTGGATCACCCCGGATCCAGTGAGGTGGGGAAAAGCCCAAAGCCTCTACAGATTCACAGAGTGTGAGGAGTGAGCCTCTATGACTCATGTCAGTGCCTGACCAGAAAGGGGGCTCCAGGTAACTTAAAACCCTCCTCTTTGACAGGATCTGGATGAAGGTCTCACTGGTCCTGCCGTCTCGCTTCTGCAAGGACTCTTGGACCACGTTCTATCCTGGTGGCTAGAATCCGGCCCCACATCCAAAAGTCTGAACTAAAATAGTTAGATTTTTCACAGAGTTGATTGGTTCCACCCTAAAGCTGCCTGCTATTCTCTAGTTCTAATGCCTGAACCAGAGTAATAAATAACTGCTTATATGACAACAGTAAAGAAGAGGATCTGGAGTTAGAAACATGAGTGGTTTTTATTTTTTTCAAGGATGTTATCCTCATAATTAAACAACCTGTTAACAATTAGTTTCTTTCGAACAACACCCTCTTCTATTTAATGTTTTATCACATTTATTTTTCTACGATTACATATTTAGACACAAGGACTTCCCTGACACAAGAAAAACCATGTATATTGTCAGGGTCCATTTTACTTAAAAAAAAAACCACAGTTGTTTAACTTGCATTTTGATAACTATAATTCTGGTTCTTCAGTGCTGGAGGACAACAAAAACTTAGATTCCCCTGAATACTTCTAAATTTAAAATAAACTCTGCCCTCCACATACAAACATAACTTGGCATCTCTTTGTAATCCTCCTCTTCCTACCCTGAACCCCATCTCTGTTGGACACCAATCTCTGCAAACCTGTCCAGAGCAGGATGCTGCCAGATCAGATATGACACTTCACAGACTCCCGTTTTTCTCATAATCCCCACTCAACCAAAGAGAGACAGAAAGAAAGATAGAAGGCACTGAAGAAAGACTCTATTAATTTTACAGCCTTTCAATTAAACTGTTACCTCTGCCACTTCAAAGTCCTCATCTGACCATCTGGGAGAGGACACCCAGACGTAACCCTAAGACTAACATGCATGAAGCTTGCTTGCATTTTGCAGAGATCGGGAAATCAAATACATGTTTACTAAGAGCTAAATTCCATGAGTGCTATAACTAAACAGCTGTAACTAAACAGTGTGTAATCCTATATCCATATCCCAATACTCTGTGCACGCCAATGTTCATAGCAGCATTATTTACAATAGCCAAGATGTGGAAGCAACCTAGTGCCCATCAACATACAACTGGATAAAGAAGATGTGGTGTGTGTATATATATATACATGTATATATATATGTATATGTATATATATATATGTATATATAAAGACACACACACAATGGAATATTAACATAAAAAATAGTGAAATTGGCCATTTGAAGCAATGTGGATGGACCTAGAAAATACTGTGCTTAGTGAAATAAGTCAAACAAAGACTAATACTGTATGATACCACTATATGTGTAATCTAAAAAATAAAAACAAAGGAATATATATACATATGCAAAATAGGAACAAACTCACAGATATGGACAACAAGCTAGATGTTATCAGTGTGGAGAAGGAAGGGGGAGGGGCAAGATGTGGTGGGGGTTAAAAGGTATAAACTACTGTGTATAAGCAAGCAACAAGGCTATCCTGTATGACTCAGGGAATTATAGCCATTATTTTGTATTAACAATTACTTTAAGTGGACCATGTTCTGTAAGAACACTGAACACTATGCTGTGCACCTGAAACTCTTATAATATTGTAAATCAACTCTACTCCCATTTAAAATAATTTATTAATTAGTTTGAAAAAAAAAAACAAGCAGCAGGTCCAGAACATGGAGGACCCCAGAAGCAGGGGCAGAGGAAACAGAGCCGTGTAGGATGGCTCCAAGAGCTAGGCCTGGTCAGAAGTCACTGCAGCCTGAGGCCCACGTGTGGAGATGAGCCCAGAAGACGGGGCTGAGAGCACAGGGGCTCCCTGGGGGGCTTGACACCAAGATTGCCATCAGATATTCTAATTTCAGGTAAGGCTTAGTCACTTAACTTTTTTAATTTACTTTTTAAAAAATAAAGTACTTTCTGTTAGGAAGTTGCATACTGATTTTCATTTTGCTTGATTTGTATCAGTATTACACCTGTGCTTGGTTCAATGTCAAATTGTTCTGTGAGACTTGTGAAGAAAAAAACCTTGAAAGTTCCTGCCCCATTTTTTCCTCCCCAAAGACAACCACTGTCAGATCTTCCAGCTCATTATTTTCACATTGGCATGCGTGTCTCTGAAGAACTTGCACACGTTGCTACTTCAATCTCAGGGATTATCTGCTGACTCTCCCCCCAGCCCTGTGTGCACACATGTACATTTTCTTTCCAACAAGTTTCCAATTTAGTTTGACCAATATTCAGAGATCACATTATTATATCTCTGTAAATCCCGTTCACAGATTATCATGTTATCCAATCGTTTCTGTCCCTGGCTGACACAGGAATTTGCTTATCTGTTTTTCATTTACTTACATTTCTATGTTCTTATTAATTCATTTCCAATTCTCCAGTTTTGTAAAGCTCCTCACAGCACCTTCAAAGGCAAACGTGTGCTCCCTGCTGTCGTTGACCTTCTGGCCCATGGTTTATGCCATTCTAACATCATTACTGTCCACTGAGCAGCACCACCAGAGAGGAGGGACCACGGCGGGTGTCCACCCTGCCCTTCTCGCCTGGAGCCCGGAATCATTTAATGCTGCTTGAACCTAACATCCTCACCAGCTGATGGCTTAATCAGGGCTAGGGCCCTTGGGAGACTGAATCACAAGAGGAGGAGAAGTCGCTGAAAGTGGAGATGGGGGATTCACTTTCAGCGCCCGTGTCGGGTTTCCCGAGCTGTGCTGCAGACTGACCTGCAGGGCTGATGGGAGCGAGCCTCAGCCTGAGGGTGGAGACGAGGCCCGCTGTCCACACAGCACGGCCTGGGCCCTCTGCCCTGGCCTCCACCTGTCTTCTGAGCGACCCTCAGTCAGACTTCCCTGGGCTGTGTCCTTCTCCAGGTCATCTCAGAGCCTTCTTTCCCCAGAGACATGGGAACCTGCTGACGCAGGGCTAAGGAGGTGCCTTTCCTCTCAGCCCCTACCACCCTGCTCCTCCCTTCTCCCAAGCAGATTGTGTTTATCACGTGAGAACACATTTTGGTGACCCAGCCCTACAGCCCTGAAGTGATTGGGGCTTCAGAACCCTTCCTAGGAAACCTGGAAAGCAGGGATGATGTGCACTAGCAAGGCCCCAGCCTTCCCTGTGGCCAGTCTCCCCCAAGCCAGAGCCAGCACCCCACTCCAGGCTCTCAGCCCATGCATTTGAAGAAGAGCGCTGGCTGGAGAAGGACAGGTCTGGACTCTGTTTACCAGCCGTGTGATGCTGGGCAAGTCATTAAACCTCTCTTAAGGACTTTTATTATTTGCAAACTGGAGATAACAATGCCTGCCTTGAAGAACCATTATTATATTTATAGTTAATAAATGGAGAACTTCCACTTGCAACAATATTAAGGATTTAATAACCTGGAAACTTTCCCACTATAATACAGTTTAAGATACTGCATAAACCATGAGATGCCTTTTAAATGCCTAGCTGGATTCTCAAAAAAAAAAAAAAAAAACTCCCCAAAGGCCAGAAATGAAACCAAAAACCAGAGTGAGAACTGTGTGAGCCCACACTGACAACTCCAAGGAGAAGATGCTGACAACCTTGGCCCCTCAAAGGGACAAGGAGGCAGAAGGGAAACTGCCACATAAAGACACAAGTCTTGAAGAATCCAGGAAACAATGAACTAGGGAAAACTCACCCCCAACACAGGCAGAGAAAGAGAAAGCCTTTCTATCTCTCATGGGTTTTTTTTCCCCTCTGAGACTTCAAAACCTCAGGCCAGCTCACAGTTTCAAGGAAATCATGCAATTCAGCTTATGCTGATAAAACTATTGTATAGCAACTAAAACAAAAATTTAATGATTTAAGATGAAAATAACTAAAAATGTAAGAAACAAGGCTTTTTAAAAAAATAGAGCTTATAGTTATAAAAGTATAGTCAATGAAATTAAAATATCTCAGTGGATCAGTTTAACACACTATTAGACAAAGCTGAAGGAAGAATTAGTAAACTGAAGATAAACCTGAGGATATTATACAGAATGCAACAGAGAAAGAGAAAAAGAGATGAAAATAAATGGAGATAAAATGAAAATGTCCAATATCCAACCAACAATTAAAAAGACATCTAAAAATGTGGCACATAAGGTGACCAACAATAAATATTAATGATTTTGCTTTTAGTCCTTATATTTACATTACTCTGAAGCTCAAATGCTATTAACCACAGGAGCACAGAGATTGCTATAGATCTTGTCCATCTGTATTCATGAAATATTATAAATGTAAGGAACCTTGGCAGTGACCTGATTATACCACTTAATGGATAAAGCTGAATCTTGCCCCAGCTCAGTCACTTACCAGCATATAACTTAACTTTCTGAGCTCTCATTTCTTCAGTTATAAAATAGGAATAAAGACAACTAGTCTTCAGAAAGAGTTTCTGTGAAAATCAAAAGGAAAAAATGCAGGGGAAAGATGTAATATTGAGAGTGGTACAGTAAGCATCAACAAATGAAAGCTATCAAGACTTCTCGCCATTTGTTTCCATTTCAAATGATAAAATAGAAGCCCCCAAAGATCAATCATGTATGGATGTGAGAGTTGGTCTATAAAGAAAGTTGAGCACCAAAAATTGATGCTTTTGAACTGTGGTGTTGGAGAGGACTCTTGAGAGTCCCTTGGACTGCAAGGAGATCCGAAGAGTCCATCTTAAAGGAAATTGGTCCTAAATATTCATTGGAAGGACTGATGCTGAAACTGAAACTCCAATACCTTTCATCACCTGATGCAAAGAACTGACTCATTGGAAAAGACCCTGATGCTGGGAAAGATTGAAGGAGGGAGGAGAAGGGGATGACAGAGGATGAGATGGTTGGATGGCATCACCGACTTGATGGACATGAGTTTGAGTAAGCTCTGGGAGTTGGTGATGGACAGGGAAGCCTGGCGTGCTGCAGTCCATGGGGTCGCAAAGAGTCAGACACGACTAAGCGACTGAACTGAACTGAAAGATAAATCACTTATGAGGATCATACAGTATATTCCTAGTAGCCCAAGAATTAGAATCTAGTTCTCTCAACCTGTTCCTATGCTCTTCCATTGAGCTTCACCCCCTGAGAAAAACAAAGATGAGGAAGGTGGAAGTAGAGTCTTGGGAGACACGACCAAGTGTCTCCATCCTGGCTCAGTGCAACTTAACATACTACGTGAGGATGCAGTAGACATTCTCGACACAAATAAATCCTGGGTGATGAAATTATAGGCCTGTGGGGAAGACGTTTCAAGCAGAGAAGTAGGGGTGAGGGAGCAGACACACAGTCCTGGAGGATGCAAAGCCCAGGGCTGGGCTGGTTCTGGTAAGAGGCCCATTTGGGGCTTGCAGACAGTGTAGAAGCAGCTCTGGTCTGTCTCCCTTCTTTGAGGACACCTGTACCCTCAGGGGGGCCCATCCTCACCCAAAGGCCCCATCTCCCAGGACCATCACACCCAAGCCTTGGCCTGTCGCAGTCCATCCTGTCTGCTCTAACCAAACACCACAGACTGGGTGGCTTATAAACAACGGGATTGATTACTCTCAAGGCTGGGAGTCTGAGGTCAGGGTGCCATGACTATCAGGTGAGGGCTGTCATCCAGGTCACTTCTTGCCGTGTCCTCACATGGTGGGAAAGCTGGGGCATCTTGGTTGGGGGGGCTCTCTCATGAGGACTCCAGTCCCATTCACAAGGGCTCCACACTCCCACAATCGCACCACTTCCCAAGGCCCATCCCCTGACATCACCATGTTGGGTGCTAGGATCTCAAATATACGAACCTGGAGGGTGGAGGTGGAGGAGTGAGCCTGCAGCGCCCTGACATAACACGTGCAGAGCATGACACATGCTGCAGAGATTCACAGAGCAGAGACCCTAAGCCTCGAGGGTTAACAAAGTCTCCGTAGGAAGCGACTTCTAAACTGAGGATCCCAACAGGGGAACAAGCCAGTAAGTCGGCCAGGGTGGAGAGGCAGAGGGGGAAAAATATCAACTGATGAAGCCGGGGACATAGGCTGCAGAAAACGTCAGGCCCAAACTGCAGAGTGCTCAGGCCTCTGTGTGCTCGGTCGTGTCCAACTCTGTGCGACCCCACAGACTGCAGCCCACCAGGCTCCTCCATCCATGGGGTTCCCTAGGCAAGAATACTGGAGTGGGTTGCCATTTCTTCCTCCAAGGGATCTTCCCGACCCAGGGATCGAACCTGCACCTCCTGCAGTCTCCTACACTGGCAGGCAGATTCTTTACCACTGGGAATACCCCCATCAAACTCAAGAGCTTTAACTCAGTCTTGCGGAGCCAGTGCCCTGGCAGGGGTGAGCAGAGCAAGGCAGCGACAGGCTCGGGCTCCAGAGCTTCTCTGGCTTCTGGAATTCAGGGAGCGGAAGCCCAGAAGGCAAGCTAGAAGTTACATAAAAACATTTCCAACTCCCCTGGGCTGTATCCTTTGGTTCAAAACAAGGTCCACCCACAGCCCAGCCCCGCCCCACGCCCTGCATTGGGTCAACATTCGAATGTTAGAGATAAAGAAAGTAATAAAGATAAGACAGGGTGTGAACCCGAACGCTGGCCTCAAAGCCCAGACAGGTGTGCAGACAGCACCGACTTATCCTGAATGCGTCTCAGACACTTTCCTTGTACACCCTCTCTTACAAAATTGGCGGCGGGCTTTTCTTTTTCTTTCTTTATCATTTGCTGTGACAAAAACAAGCAGCTTTTTGTTCTAGGAAATAAACTTACACTGTAGTTCTGATGGTAAACCTGATGGTTGTGCACCCACTAGACTGGAGTCACTTCTCCTGACCCTCCAGGTCATGTCACCTAACTCTTTATTGAAGACCCCCACAGATGCCCTTAGAACCTGGGTGGGGGGAGTAATATGCATTCTAACCAAGCTCCCTGTATTACTCCCCGTATTACTGTAGTTTTCTCGGGCCACCATGACGAATGGTGCACGCTGAGCGCCTCAGCACTGCAAGGGTCCTTCCCTTGTGGTTCCAGGACAAGAAGCCTGAAGGCAGTGTGCTCAGGGCCCTGCTCCCCTGAAGGCCTGGAGGAGGCCCCTCGCTCGCCTCACTCCTCTTCCTGGTGGGAAGCTGTCCTCAGCTTGTAGACACCTCACTCCTGTCGCGCCTCCATCTTCAAGGGCCATCTCCTGTGGGTCTGCGTCAAATTCCCCTTCCGTTGGACCACAGGAGTCATGGATGAGGGCCCACCCTAGTCTGCTGTAACCACATTTAGCTGGATGGCCTCTACAAAGACCCCATTCCCAAATAAGCGCACTGTCCAAGGGCCAGGGGTAGGATTTCAGCACACTTGAGCGAACAGCATTCAACCCATGATGGTCCCCTTGGGTTCACAGCTCGTGAACTTTCAAGCATCTGGGAACTTGGGTGACAGATTCCCTAATGGCCCATTAAGGTGCAAGGTCACCGCAGCCACGTGGTGCCCTGACAGGCTAGGGTCCTGCCTGCCTACCTGGTTGGATCTGGGGTGCAGGAGGAGGAAGAAGCGGGTGTGGGCGGAGGTGAGATCCACGGAACTCCCCCTGTAGAATGCACCTGGGCCACGGGCTCTGCACACAGGCCGGCCACCCAGCTCTCTAGCAGAAGCACAGGGTGCTTGTCTGGACCGACGCAGTTCCCCAAGGACCCGCAGCTCAGACAGACACATCTCACTCTCACTTGAAGACCAAACCTGGAGCAGAGGACTTTCTCATCCAGGTGCAGGTGTCTCGATGGTGAACCCAAGTCTTCACCCTGCCCATGCACAACGAGCATCTGCTCAGGGACCTAATTCACATCCTGGCTCTGTCCCTCACCAGGGGATCTTGCACAACGTACATCAGCCTCAGCTTCCTCACCTGGAAAATAGGCATGACCGCAGGAAGGACCTAGTAGGATTAAATGAGATAATCCACGGAAGGCTCTGGTCACATAAACAGCATTTAATACATGTGAATTATTCCTCTAGAGCATGACTGCCACGGTTTCTGGTGACAGACTGGTATCTGATGCAGCTGACGTTGTGCCAGCACTTAGCCTCACTTCCTCCGTGTGACTGTGTAACTTGGAAGCTGATAAAACAGTTTGTGAGCCAACTATCTCCTCCGACATCAATGAATGAAGTCAAGAAAGTCTGGAGAGAACAAAGTGTGTTTTGGTCAAGACTTCTTTTTTTTTTTAATTAATTTATTTTTTTATGGAAGGATAATTGCTTTACAGAATTTTGTTGTTTTCTGTCAAACCTCAACATGAATCAGCCATAGGTATACATATATGTCCTCCCTTTTGAACCTCCCTCCCATCTCCTTCCCCATCCCACCCTTCTAGGTTGGTACCCGCCCCCGCTGTTTGAGTTTCCTGAGCCATACAGCAAATTCCCTTTGGCTGTCTGTTTTACAGATGATGGTCAAGACGTCTTGATAAACCATACACAAATACATCTCCTTGGGGATGACAGAGGGAGGGCTGGGTCTTGGAATATATATTTATTGTACTCTCAGTAGCCTACTTAAAAAATAAATAAAACAAAATTGCTATTTACTGAAAAGTTTTATTAATGCCCCATGAGATGTAATATGATTTACTCACACATATATAAAAATAAAATAATGATGTTCTCCCCAAACTCGGTAGAGCTGCCAGGTGAAAAAGAAGCTGGTCCAAAGCAGGAAGTCGCCAGTAGTGACCAAGAAACGCCACACGGCAAAGGCCTTAGGCCTGTTCATCTAAACGCACAAGGATCCGTGTCTGCGAAACTGGTGGAGAAGGCGAGCAGACGGCCGCTTGCCGGCTTCCATGGAGGCTGCCGGGGCGCTGCTGTCTTGGCCTCACTGCGTCTTCAACCACAGAAACGCAACACGGACACGTCAGGCCAAGGGCCAGGGTCCCCCAGAAGGCTGCCTCATCGTCTTCTCCTTGTCCCCTGAGTCACAGCGTTGCAGCCTCTGGGGTCACAGCGCCAGGGCAGGACTTCAATCACGGCCTTCCCAAACACACAGCTCCAGGCTGTGCTGTGCCCGCACGCCAATGACCCACTTTCTGTCAAGGACCAGAGAAGATTCGGTTATACAACAGCACAGATGTCGGCTCCCCGCTTGGCACTGTGCAGGGTCCTGCCCCTCACGACGGGGCTGCCGGGAGCTGTGCTCAAGGCTGGAGGGACCAGACACTCAGGCTCCTAGAGGTGTCGGGGCGTCCACGTCCGGACTGTGCTGCCGGCAGCCAATGCGTCCCTGCACTTAAAGCTGAGAACAGCATGCTCTGTGCACTCATGCATGCAGTCCGCTATCAACCCTTTGGTCCTGGGGGTAGGGGTCTGGGGGCAGGGGTGCCGTGGGCATTCTGCCTGACCCTATCACACCCACTCCACTTGCCACCCTTCCCTCCACTTCATGATCCTAGGGAGAGCTGTCAAGGCTAGGTTCTGATGTTCATGATGGAAGCAAACATGCAAAAAGGTGAATAATTCATTTGAGTCAATTCACATAAGAAGCATATTTTTTGTGCCTGCTACATATTGGGTGTTTTGTGGAGTCATCGGCATCAGGGTGGACAAGACACGTGAGCTATGGGCCTGCTGTAATGGTCTCATGGGCAATCGAGAGGGGCCCTCAGAGCCCAGGGGAGCTTGGAAAGGGGGGCAAGGGGGACGCATCAAGGAGGAGAACTGAGGAGGGGCCAGGGGGAGCCAGGCTGCCTCCAATGGAGGCCAGCAGGGCCGCCGGCAGGACTGGAGCCCGGGGTGGGAGGTCACAGGGATGGAGGCCAACTAGAGACCCAGGTTCAGAGCAGGGGTGGGGCAGATGCCTCACCAAGTCCAGACCTCACTCTGAAGACAGGAGAGATTTGATTCAAGGCGATGATCAGATTTTCATCAGAGAAAACACCTACCATACAGGGTGAAGGGCAGATGGGAGGAGCTCAGATCAGGTGCAGTAGGACCCCAGAGAGAGCTCACCCCCACAGAGCCCAGGACTGGGAGCTGAATTCTGGAGCAGTGGCTCCTGGGGACCAGTGACTGCGGAGCTAGCACCGTGCTGAGCACGGGAGGTTTAAAGATGACCAGGTCACATTTCAGCAAGAGATGCCAGCTCCCCATCTCCACGGGCCTGTCCACGGAAGCTTCTGAACACGGCGTGCGAAGGAGAAGAAGAGGCTGAAAGTCCCAGTGAGCAGCTTCCAGGGATTCCACGTGGGGCGCAGATAAACACAGTCCTGCCGTGAAGACACAGCTGCTCCGTCTGCACCTGGTGCTGCTCATCACCGGCCCAGACCCGCTTGGGCGGCGCCGGGGCTGCAAGAGGCCCCTCTGTCTCCACTTGCTCTGCCAGCCCAGCCCCACCCTGCACCCATCCTCACACCCAGAGCCCCCCGAGACCATGGGGCTGACTCCCACCCCCTCAGGCTGGCAGTCCCTGCATGCTGCCCACGTGAGCAGCTTGAGCTGCTGGAGGGTCATCAGCACCATTGCGCCAGTGAGTGCCCTCTGTGGAACCGTGTGTACAACACACACAGAATGCATCAGACCATCTGCAAGACTGGCACCACACAGGGGTGTCTGAGATGAGGCAGAGTGAGGCTGGCCAGGCAGAGGAAGGCTGGCATGGCACGGACATAGGCCACAGACCAAAGGCACACGTTTAAAGGCTGATATGCGATTTCCAGGGTTCAGATGTCCAGAAACTTTCCAAGCCAGTTGTTAAGCCTTGGGTAGTCTGAAGTCAGCCCTGATGAGAATATGTTCACCGTGGAAATCAGCAAATCCTCTGTCAGGCCTCCCCCATCCCATCCCCTGCCTGTCTCCTTGACAACCGTAGCGGAGGCTCTAGGTGCCTGCCCTCTTCTGCCCTCCATCTCCAGGGTCCAGCAGGGAGGGTGGGACACCGTGGAGTCTGGCAAACCTTGGGCTAAATGTCTGCTTAGAATTAGACCTTGACGTTGTGAAGAGCAGAGGATCAGGACATGGGGGCGGTCCCACTTCCTGACTCCCACCCACTCCCACCCATTGAAGTAGGCAAGGGGTGTGGGGGAGGGGTTAGCTCCCTGGCTACAAGTGGTAAAGAAGAGGTGAGGCTCCATTAGCCCAAAAGGAAACTGAGGCGGGGACAGAGGGGCCGGCTGAGGTCTCTACCTCCTGCCAGGACCAGCTGCGAATGCCTAGCTCCCTGTTTGTAAAGTGGGGGTGCCACGGTCTGCCCAAGGACTGCTAGGACTGAGGTGCGTGGTGCCTGGAACATCCAACAGAGGATGCAGGGCAAGCCCCGCCCAGCCGCCACCCAACTAGTCACGGGACAGTCTTTTACCATCATAGCAGAAGCAAGAGAGAGCAGCGTGGCCCCGTCTAAGTCCTACTTCTTCTCCGAAGATCCCAGGCATCATGTTCCCAAGACCGCACTGGACTTCAGAGGCTCCTAAACAGGAGCCCCCCACATCTTTGTCTGAGATGATGGTGGTGCCCAGCAAGAGGCATGTTTGTCGGGCTCCTCGCCTCCTCCTTTTGGCCAGTTGAATGGCACTGTACTCAATCCCCTGTGCTCCCAACCGCATCTTTTATGAACCTTCACGCAGAGTCATGCTCACTGAAGGACAGCGCCCTGCAGCAGACTGGGGGAGCACAGAACGAGCCGGCATAGGAAACTCCAGGACTCCTTGGTGTCCCAGCCTGGGGAGCCCCCCAATCCACGGGGCCCAGGTGCACCGCCCCACCACCACCCCCACTCAGGGGGCCAGTATCTGGGGATCTTGACGGGGTGACCCCATCACGGAGAGGGCTTTTTCATCTGGGGATCGGGAGATCTCTATTGCAATAAACGACGTGTGCCTCCCCCCAAAGTAACATAAACCAATAACAGGCTCCCATAATGCCATTTTTTAAAAGGCTTTAAATAACTTTCTCAATGCAAAACAACCCACTCAAGCAGACTTAAGTCATTTTATGGGCCAGCTGAACCAGGGGCGCTCCAAGAGCCTCACTGCACCCCGAGTCAGAGCCATTACACCCACCACCAGTCGGTGCCCAGTGCTGTGGGTTAGACGGGTGGGCTCCACGTGGTACCCACCGAGGGATACGTCTGTCCACCCCTCACTCCCTCCCTTCCACAGGGCGGATGTACTTGTCCTCTTGATTTCCCTGTGCTCCTAACCACATCTCTTTTATGAAACAAACAAAATAAAAGGTCCCCCCTGCTCCTGGTGAACCTGGAGATGAATTCAGCAGCTATGGTTCCCGAAAAGTGAACCTTACGGTCCTCACAATGGGAACCTCTTATCCACACCATGATGAACAGCAGCTCAGCCAATGCCAAAGCCTGATAGCCAGCTCACTGCCTTTTAATTGAAATTCCAAGTTGAGGTTTGGTTTTCAAAGGAAGGATGGAGCCTGTCAAGGTCACCCAGTGCGGGCGCTGCTGGGAAGACCGCACACGTACCCGCCCGGCTCCTGGGAGGGAGGCTCACTGCGGCAGGAAGGGCTCCTGACAACTTCCAGCATGTTTTCCAGCTATAAATAGCCTCCACGGCATGA